TATGGGCGATTGGGCAATTCGGTTCAATAATGAAATTCATTCCAGATAGAGATCATCTTGATAGAAAAGATGGGTGTCCTCTTTATAGAAGGAGTGGATAAGACCTTAAGCCATTCTAATATGAAAAAATTAATGTATTCTAATAAAAAGTCGTAAATTCTTCAAATAAAATTACCTTAAGCATTTCTAATAAGAAGACCTTTAGCACATCTAATAAGAAGACATTAAACTCATTTAAAAAGAACACCTAAGGTTCTTCTAATAAGAAGACCTTAAGTTCTTCTAATAAGAAGATCCAAAGCTCTATTAATAACAATTAATTTCCTCTAATAAGAAGACCTCATGCTCTCCTAATAAGAAGACCTTTAGCTCTTCTAATAAGAAGACCTTTAGCTTTTCTAATAAGAATACCTTATGGTCTACTGATAAGAAGACCTTACTTTAGCTCTTCTTATAAGAAAACCTGAAGACCTTCCAACAAGAACACATTTAGCTCTTCTAATAAGAAGACCTTTAGCTCTTCAAATAAGAAGATCATTAAGAAAATCTTAAGATCTTCTAATAAGAAGGCCTTTAGCTCTTGCAATAAGAAAACATTAAGTTATTCTAATAAGAAGACCTTAAGTTCTTCTAATAAGAAGACTTTAAGTTCTTTTAATCAGAAGACCTTACGCTCTTCTAATAAGAAGAAGTTAAGCACTTCTAATAAGAAGGTCCTAAGCTCTTCTAACAAGAATACCTTAAGCTCTTCTAATAAGAAGAACTTAAGCTCTTCTAATATGAAAGCCCTATGCTCTTCTAACAAAAAGGCCTTAAACTCTTTTAAAAAGAAGACCTTTAGCTCTTCTAATTAGAAGACCTTTAGCTCTTCTAATTAGAAAACCTTAAGATCTTCTAATAAGAAAATCTTACGGTCTTCTAAAAAGAAGACACTTAGCTCGTCTTTTAAGAAGATCTCAAGCTCTTCGAATAAGAAGCTGTTCTAATAAGAAGAATTTAAGCTCTTCCAATAACCAGACATCAGACTGTTGCAATGAGAACCTTAAACTACTTCTATAAGAAAATCTTAAACTCTTATTATAAGAAAACCTTAATTTCTTCTAATAAGATGACCTTAAGCTATTCTAATAAGAAGACATAAAGCTATTCTAATAAGAAGAAATTTAGCTCTTCTGAAGTTCCTTTAAGTATTGTTTAATTATTCTATGGTTATGGTTTTATTATTTGAAACTCTATCTTCCCCGTTCAAGGAATTTCCTCCCTTACCTAAAAACCCCTTACCCAGCCACCCTCGGCTTAATTGCCCATGTATTGAGGTTATTTTTTAGAGTAATCTAAATTCGGCCTTTATCACAAATTCAAATAACGCACCAAAAAACCTAAAGAGCCGACAATTGTTAAACATTTTATTGATGTGTTTTTTGTTTTCGTTTCTACAATTTTATTGTTAAACATAAAAAATAATTATTTTTCCAAAAAAAAAAAAACACAGGCACGCAATTTTTGTGGCTTATTTCAAATAAAGTACCTCTTTGGCATTTTTATTGCATTAGTCGCATTGGCGACTAGACGACAGGTGACTTCTCCATTGTCCGCAAAAAACGAGACAAGCTATTCACATCAAAAAGAAGGAGAAGAAACAACAAAATCATGATTACTTTGTTGATGTTGTTTTTGTTATACACAAATTGTTGTTAATAACACTTACAATAATAAGGTTAATAGATTTTATTGATTGCACTTCAATGATTTGTTCAAAATACAAAAGCAACTATGAAGAGGCAAAAAACGCGAAAGAGAGGAAAACAAATAACAAAAAAAACAAAATATTTAACGCAATACCACCAAACAACAATATAAAGAAAAATAAAAAACAAAATACTATTTTTTGTTGTCTTGCCATGAGCGTAAATAATTTAAAAAAAGTCAGAGCCAGCAGTCCGCCGAAAGATCGATTGCAATAACACGTCAATGAGATATTTATTAGGCAATCAGTTTGTGTTTCTATTTCTCAAAACAATAGTTTTGAGATAGCAATTTATTATAATTTTTTAAATTTAACAAAAAGTTCAAAAATATATAAATGTACAGATTTCATTTAAATTTGTTATGGCCAATTTGCTTAAATAGCAAGTGATAGTTGTTGCAAAAAAAAAAAAAAAACAATAACGTTATTAAATTGTTTCGTTAAGAAATAATTTAAAAATACATGAAGATGTGAGGGGATTGGTGGTGAGTGGCAAGGGCATACTGTACTCTTAAAGTTGCTGATGCAAAAGGGCTGTTTCATGCTTAAATCAAATTATATGCTAAAAATAAAAACAAAATAAAATATATAATTTCTGTTTGCAAGTGTTATGAAAGCAAAATACAAAAGATTTAAGACACAAACGTGATCTTGTGATAACTTAATTTCGGTTATGTTGAAAAGTGAATGCCCAATTATTATGAGATTAATTTTGCCGTTCGTTTGTAATGTATGATGACGATGAAAGAGAGGATGGATGTTTTTGAATTATTAAATAAATGTTGTTTATATAATTAACTAAAGGGCTAATAAGTTCGGTGCCGGGGGAGAAAAGACACAGATAACAAATATCAAAAATTGACACGAATTTTGGTAATTTAAATTGAAACTAATTAAATCAGGAGTAATAATTTAATAGCTAAGAAAAATAGTATCAATTATTTGAATATGCATTAAATAGTTAATTTTTTGCTCTTCCGATAAGAAACCCTAAGCTCTTCTACTCCAAAAACTTTAAAGTTTTCTAATAAGAAGTCCGAAGCTCATATTATAGGACGAGAGATCTCAGATCATAACTCTAATAGGAAGATCTTTAGATCATCTAGGGTACTCATCGAAATCAACAATTAGGAATTCTTATTGGAATAGAATATTAGATATTCTTTTTGGAATAGCTTAAAGCCGTCATATTAGAAAGCTTAATGTATTCTTATTAAAAGATCTAAAATGTTCTTATTAGAATATCTGAAGGTTTTCTTATTAGAAGAGCTAAAAGTCTTCTTATTCGAAGAACTGAAGGACTTCTTATTAGAAGTGCTTAAGATCCTCATCTTAGAAGTGTTTAAGGTCTTCTTATTGGAAAAGCTTATTAGAAATGCTTCTATGCCTCTTAGTAGAAGAGCTTCTGTTCTTCTTATTGGAAGAACTTCTCGTCTTCTTTTTAGAAGAGCAGAAGGTCTGTTTAACAGAAGAGATGAAGGTCTTCTTATTAGAAGTGTTGAATATCTTCTTATTAGAAGAGCTGAAGATCTTCCTATTAAAAGAGCTGAAGATCAACACAATAGAATGGGTAAAGGCCTTATTATTAGAATAGGTAAAGGTTATTAGAAGAGTTGAAGGTCTTCTTATTGGAATAGCTTTAAGTCCTCCCATTAGTAAACCTTAAGATTCTCTTATTAGAAAATCGGAAGGCCTTCTTATTAGAATAGCTTAAGCTATTTTTTTAAGATCTTGAGATCTTCTTATTAGAGAAACTGAAGGTCTTATTATTAGAGAAGCTTAATGACTTCTTATTAGAAGAGCTTAAGGTCTTATTAAAATAGCTGAAGGCATTCTTATTAGAAAAGCTTTAGGTATTCTTTTTGGAACAGTTAGAGGTATTCTTATTAGAATAGTTCACAGTCTTCTTATAAGCGTACCCTTAGGTTTTCTTATATTATGACCTTGAGGTCTTGAAAGTTTCTTATTATAATTATAGAAAATCGATTTAAATGTTTGTCCGATTTCCATCAGACAGTGCGCCAAATACCCAATGTTTGTCAGATTGCGACGAAATGTTGCACTGCTTACCAAGTTGACCTAAGTAGAATGATATGTAGTAAACTTTATTCTAATCAGTTCAGATTTGGTTAAACTTAGTTTGTGTACAGGGACGTATTCAAGAGATGCCCAACAGTTCTGATTAAAATTTGTCTATAGCCAACTCTAAGAATACATATTATTCATATCTTTCTCCTCTAACAACACAATTAACCTTTGCACTCAGTCCTTCTCTGTCTGCCACTCTATAAAACCCTCTCTCTCACTCTCCTTTTCTTTTATACCCATGCATTGGGAATATATATTTTTATGCGTATATTGACATTATAAATTAACATAAAATCGTTATTACCATGAAATAATAATTTTTTGGCTAAAAAACCCCACCACCGCCACGAAAACTAACAGCAATAGTAGGCACATGTCGTCCAACTTAAATTAATGAATAACACAACTTTTAGTATAACAAAAACTACAACAATAGCACTAACATATACTCATTCACACAATAAAAAAATTCACTCAAGACTCAGACATAACATAGCAATAAAAAAATAAAATATTTGACCTTGGCCGATAATTTTTGTGGGGTCTTTTAAATTTTGAGTTTTTTGATTTAGTTTCGTTGCGTTTGTCTTACGGGCAGATGTCAATGATTAACACAAAAATTTTTGATTACCACAGCAATAATTTAGATGATGATTTGAATTTGGTAGACAAATTTGAATATTAAAAACCAAAAAAAAAAATCATGGCAATAAAAAAGAAGAAACAAAAAAATACCAACCAGCTGACCCAGAGAAACAACTCAATCAATATTGGAAAAAATCTCAAAACTAGCAAGGTCAGCGGTATTTTTTGTTTATGTGCGGATGAGGGACAAACAAAACGTACAAACACACACTTATAACCAATTTAAACAATGATTGATTTCAAATTAACAGTTTTGATTTTGGAAATATCTGTAAAATTCCAAAACAAAACTACGAACCGGTTTAATTTCGATTCACTACTTTAAGGGCAGCCACTTGTTTTTGTTGCTCTTCTTTGTTTTTCTTCTTCTTCTAGAATATGCAAAGCAACTTCCGCTTAAAATAACTGGAAGTCATTCAAACATTCAAAATTTTTAATATAGTTTTCAAAATAAAAAAAAAACTATTCACTAATTTATAATACATAATAATATTTTCTTCTTCTTCTTCTCATTTTGCAGTTTAGTTTAGTTTACGTACTCGGTGTGGCATAAAAATCCATCATCAGTTGTTGGTTGATAAACGATACGGTGAAATCGTTTAACGCTATTTAGCAAAACAGAAAAAAACAAACTTTATTCCCCCCTTCAACAAAAAAAACCCTTTTACACACACACACACAAAGTCACAATGAGGCCCCATCTATTATCGCTTGCCTGCGTGTGCTCTGTCCTCGCTTTTGTAACAGCTGTACCATTGCCTGCCTCAAATCAGGAACTTGATGTGTTACAGATTCCACTGTCAAATGGAAAGGTAAGTGTCCATCACGATCATTGTATGCTTTTTGTATTTACTGTCCGGTAATGTACTCGCAGTATGAGGCTTATTTGCCAAAAGTGTTTTGTTATGTTTGCCATGGTAAATAAGAAAATATTTACATGTGACTTAAGTTGAACGAAAAATAAAAATAATAATCCGAAATGTGTAAGGAAAAAATTTACAACGAGGTTTAGTTGAGGAATTTGTGAAAAATAAATAAATGAATGAATACAGCAGTTTTTTGAAAGATTACATACGCTGCTAAAACAAAAGACTTAAGGCACGAACATAAATTTAAATTAAAATATCTTTTATTCAAAAAAAAAGTTGGAAACTTTTGTTGAAAAAAAAAACAATTACGAGGATTCGATGAGAAATTTGAAAGAAATAATTTTTATTAATTAATATAATAATTGATATTTGAAAGGTTATAATATACTAAAACAAAAGACTTAAGACACAAACATTAATTTTCTCTTTTATCTTTGAACGATAAAAAACTACCCTATAAAACAAAAGACTTAAGAAACAAACAGGAATCTCTAAACTTTATTTTCTCTCGTGAAAGATTAAAGAAATTCTTGGGAAGCAGAAGAAAATAAACGATAATGATTGCAGAGGATTCTTGAAGTCTATATGCCCTGCAAAACGAAGGAATTAAGAGACAAACATTTTAAAGTATGTAATATGTACTTGTATGTATACGACTTTTATTAATATTAACAGCAGTAGAAAGTCTTATACGAATGTATATTGTTTATTTGAGCTCTTATGAGACATATCGATTCTTTATGGAGCATTATGTCAAAAATTTTAAGTGTTATGAAGACTTATACCTATGTTTACGATATATTTGAGCTCTTTTATGGATTATGGTACAAATTTGAGTTCATATACGATCGTATAAGTCATATTTCACTTCTTATACAAACATGGGTTCTTATACGAACATATATTCAATTTGTTGGTCTTATACGGGTATATAATATTGATATATTCTAGCCGTATTAAGTTACACACGTATAATACATCTTTTAACCCTTATACTAGCATATACGATTTTTCTGAAATCTTATATTGATATATACTAACCGTATGAAGTCTTATAGAGAAGTATAAGATATATTTCAGTTCTTATACACAAGTATAAGACACCATTCAACCCTTATACGGATATATATACGACTTTTCTGACGTCTTTTATTGATTTTAAGTTCTTATACAAACAAATGCGGCACATTTGAGCTTTGATACGAACTTGTAAGGCATGTTTGGACTCTTATACGAACGTATATGCACCCTTTGCAGTCTTACACGAACATATACGATTTTTCTGTTGTCTAATATTGATACATTCGAGCGGTATATTGTCTTACACGGAAGTATAAAATATATTTGATTTATTATACACACGTATAAGGCACCTTTCAACCCTTATATAGTCATATATGATTTTTCTGTCGTCTAATATTTCTATATACGATACAAATGTATAAGGTATATTTGAGGTCTTATATAGACATAGATATTTTTTTTGGAGTATTATATCAATGAAGGCGTATACCTATGTATAAGTCATGTTATACGGACGTATGCGATTTACCTGAACTTTTATACGAACGTATATGATACATCTAAGTTCCATTACGGACATATATAATGTATAAAAGCCCAATGAAGTCTTATAATAACGTAAACGGGTTTCACCAAGTCTTATATCGAAATATATGAATTCAAACTGTGTGTATAAGACCACAAAAACGTCAAATATAGACATATTCCATATTTTTGAGATTGTATATCAACGTTTAATATATTTTTGAATTGTCTTATATGTATTTATATATAAGACCATAACGCGATCTATATATAGCATATTACATCTAAAACTTTTGTTTTCATATAATTCCGTCTATAATGTCATTTTGAAATTATATAATGGATGCGTTATAAATTTTAAATTCATTATCTACACATTTTTATAGCATATGAAATGACGTATACAGAAATATAAGAACTTATTGGGTCTTGTACGGACATATTAGATCATTTTAGGATTTTACTTTAACGTATAAGATGTTAGAAATCTGAAACATGTTCTATTATTGAGTATATCATATTCAGGGGTCTTTAAATATTTGAAGAGGTTAAGAGGTCATATATCCCTATAAGAATCCTTCAAGCAATGAAATATGCAATTGATTTCCTTTATTTCCTTCATTTCCTGAAGATGTATTCTATCTATATGGGATATATTATATTTCTTTACAAGATCGTCTATCACACGATGAGGTTCTTTGTTTATTAGGTCTGCCAATTCTGTAGAACGTTTCTATCCTTAAAAAAGACCTTCAATTTATAGACGAAGTTCACGTTCTATAAATCATTTATCTCTTCCATGTGTAGAATACATGTAGGTCCGTGAAGAGTAAATTTCCTAGACATTTTATCTGAAAATCTGCACCTAGTGGTGTTCCATTAACCTACTCTAAAACAAGTTTTTCTCATATTAAAAACAAATCTATGACAGATTATATCTACATTTCAAAAAATTCAGTGAACGATGATACTATTTTTTTTCAACAAATATTTACCAAGTAAACAGAAAACAAAAACAACAAATGATTCATGAGCCAAGTATTACAAACGCAAAAAATTACAAAAAATAAAAAAATCATTACGTTAAAAAATAAAAGATAAAATCTTGTTGACAAAAATTTTTTTGTTAACACTTTCCTTGTGCAAATCGAAATACTCACACATATACACACATATCGACAAAAAACAAAATAAATATTTTCTTTATTTAGCGAACAATCTTCCTGACCTCGAAAGGTTAGTATACTCTAAGTGAAACAACAGCAACAACATGAAAATAAAGTGCATAGCTATTTACCGTTTACCACCGCCACCAAAAGTCCTTCAGTTAACAATGCTATTGACCACTTTTCCTACTAACATTCGAGGCTACTGGTTTGGATGGTTAGCTGTTGGTTGTGTGTTTATTTCTTAGGCAAGGGTTAACACAATCACAACAGCGGCAAAAATTTCCTTTTACTGCAAAAGCAAAAAAACACCGAAAAATACCTCCCGCTTCACAGAAATTCAGGTCTCTAGGCCCAGTTAATAACAAACCAAACAAAACCAGTTCCTGACTTACCTCTCCATGCAAAGGAGATTGTTTTTTATTTTAAATTTTTCTTGTAGTTTGTTTTAATTTTTTGTTTCTTTCTTAATATGTATAGTTAAGATTGAAAAAGAAACAAAAAAAATCGTACCGAAATTGAAAGTAAGTTTCCATAGTTTACAAAAAAAACAAAAATTGAGCTTTAGCAGTTATTTTTCAAGAGTATTTTTCCATTAACTGCAATCGTTTTTTTCTGTTTCTGCCAAGCAGCCTGGCAGTTGCCAGCTACCGCCACATTATTACAATAACATTAACGTAAACCGGCTTACAAATTTTATGCGGCACACAAAATTTAACGCCTTACTTAGTTCGTGTAGTTCGAAACGAAAAATCAGCTGCTTTTCGTTACAAAGAAAATGCTAGAGACACCATTTGTAATCGGTCGTCATTCGTCTGTCGTGATTTGACAACAATCGTTATGTTCGAATCGGCGGCGGTGCTACCTGGTTTTAATTTTCTTGTAGGTGATTTTCTGCCCCAGTGCTCTCTGGCTGTGGCACTGCTCTAGTCGTTTGGATACGTTCCTCTGTTGTCAATGTGATTATTTAATTACAACACAAATTGTTGTTGTTGCTGCTGCTGTTGTTGCCACTGTCAGCCAAATTAAACAATATTCTTTACGTATGTAATAATAATCGCCCGACTTGTTAGCTGGTTGCAGCAGTGGTATGGTAAGGATTGGGAGCTTAGGGGGAAGTATGGCGCCTTTTTTCCCAATGCTTCATCTATGTACCAATGTGTGTGTGTTTAACTTGTTCATGCATATGTTTGTTTATTGGCCTATTACTACACACCCAGCCGAGCTATTGTTTTCAATCTGCCTCGCTTTTGCTATTGTTAGTTAACAGGCCAATAGTTCAGTTGGATCATTTGATTGGCAAACCCCGACACCGATTTATATCGGAAGCAGTACTTATGTATTGGTAAACGTTTTGTAGTTATTTTTTTCTCATTTCTTGAAAGTTATATGGTAATATTTAATTGACGCTAAAGTACAAAGAAAAAATTTGAGACGGATAATAACGTAATGCCTGACAACAGCCGATCTATGGGAGAGGTGGTCCATTGATAGCAAAAATCTTTTGGGAAAGATTTTCCATTAGTTTGGTATTAGTAGAGGTATTCTTTAAATATAGGAGGTATTCTATACAGATAAGAGGTCTTATATATATATAGAAGAGGTCTTCTATCCATAGAAGAGATCTTCCATTAATATAGAACAGGTATTTTATCCATAAAATATGTCTTCTATAAATAGAAAAGGTCTTCTATAAATAGAAGAGGTCTTCTATACATAGAAGAGGTCTTCTATACATAGAAGAGATCTTCTATACAGAGAAGGGGTCTTCTATACATAGAAGAGGTCTTCTATACAGAGAAGAGGTGTTCTATTCATGGAAGGGGTCTTCTATTCATAGAAGGGGTCTTCTAATCATAGAAGAGATCTTCCATGCATATAGAATAGGTATTTTATCTATAAAATATGTCTTCTATAAATATAAGAGGTATTCTATAGATAGAAGAGGTCTTCTATACATGAAGAGGTGTTCTATTCATGGAAGGGGTCTTCTATTCATAGAAGGGGTCTTCTTTACATAGAAGAGGGCTTCTATACATGGAAGAGGTCTTCTCTACATAGAAAAGCTCTTCTATTCATAGAAGGGGTCTTCTAATCATAGAAGAGATCTTCCATGCATATAGAATAGGTATTTTATCTATAAAAGATGTCGTCTATAAATAGAAAAGGTCTTCTATAAATATAAGAGGTATTCTATACATAGAAGAGGCCTTCTATACATAGAAGAGG